AAATAAAGATTATTATTATTACTATTAATAGTAAAACATACATTGGACTACGAGCTACGACAGCAGTGTGACACTTTAACACGAGTTAACATCGAGGTCAAACTCTTCCTACAGATGTTTCTTCCTGGTCTCCTTCACTCTTGTTCTATATCCTTTAGTTAACACACACACACACACANNAACAATAATATCAGTGATTTTAGTTTATCTCTCTGAGCTGCAACAATTAGTTGGTTAATCAATTAGTCAACTAACATAAAAAAAATGTATTCAATTAATTGTTAAAAATATTTTTTTTACATCCCCTGATTCCAGTTTATCCAATCTGACGATTTCATATTTGCGGCTTTTTCACTGTTTTCTGACATTGTATAGACACAGCAATTAACCAACAATCAAGAACATTATTAGCTGATGACTGCGGAAAATGATAATTAGCTGCAGCCCTTAAGCAGTGTAAACTAGAAACAAAGTTCCCGAGCATGCTCAGTGATGTCTGACTGATACTGTCACTATCTATAGACTGATAATTCACTTGGCTAATTGTTTCAGAATAATTTCTGAAATTCCTGGCTGTGATTATTACAATGTCACCAAGTGCAACAATACTGTGTGTGATCTATTTTTAATATTTTTAGAGGTGGCAACATTGGAAGTGTCTGCAGGAGAATGAATTATATTATATATATTACATGCACTGGATACACAGACAACATTTGTTAGCAGGAGAAATTCATTGTTGATCATCAAAAGAGCAGCGTTATCCGTTAATATGCACAGTAGAAAGAAAATAATATCAGATTAATAAAAGTGTCTTGAAAAGATTTTGTTATGACAATCTTAATTAAAATAACTTTGTGATAGCACATTTGAAGCACTGTAAGCGCAATAGCTGTCAGCAGGGGTTGCTATATAATTACCAAGTGCAAAACAAACCTGAAAAGTTGCCGCCTTCGTGGTGAACCCTCCGTGCTGAGAAAATAACTGTGAAGAGAAAACATACATACATATCACATACATGCTTAGCCAACCACACTCTCTTTTGTGTACAATATTCAGTTCAGTGTCTCAAATGTGACTCACCAGTGGACAGACCAGATGCTGATCAATTAAGAGAATACAGCATATGCATTATGTTGGGGTTTTTAAAGTATGTCTAGAATTGGTCAGACTTACAGGTTGTCAGTGTTCTCATCATAGGAAATGATCCTGGTCACCTCCCAGTTTCCTGATGTCAGATGTCGGACTTCATTTTGATCTGCTCTGAACTGAGACAAACAAAAGAAGAAGAGTATAGGTTATTTGTTTGAACTTGGTAAGCTCGCAGGAGGATCTCACTACATGACAAGAGAACAGTCTTAAACACAAGACCGGTCGTCTAACACTGCTTGCAGCACTGCCGAGAGTGAGGAGCATTGGGGAAGCTACTTTAGATGCTCTCCCCTCGCTGCTCTAACTCTCTCTCTTTATACCTGCCTCCACTTTTGTATTTTAACCAGATTCAGGTTCCTCCCCCGAGGTTGTTTGATGATAAAACAATGCATTTTTATCAGGCTGGTAGCACACCAACGCATACCAAGGCATTAGCTTAAGTAACAGTTTAAGTAAATACATACATCTTGTGTGACATAAGCAATGTGAATTGGCCCAGGTTATTTCAGAGGTTGTTGTGGCCAATGGGGACACTGTCGGACCAAATCAACTGGAGATTTGGAGAAACATACGCAGAACAAAGGAAATCCTTTTAAGGCATTGTTAATTTAAGCGAGGCACTTCTCCTGGTTAATAAAGTTATATACAGTGGAGCTACTTTAAATCTTGAAAATCTTGGCCTTGAGGACCCCAGTTCCCACCACGTCTTTTGACTTCTTTTCACTTTGAGGTGACGTTACCTTACCTTAACTGAGTAGTTAACCAAACCTAAACATATAACCACGGGTGGCAGATCAGAAATCAATTATTTCTGCTAGTCATATGGGTCGTTTTAGATGACATTCACAAACACAATATTATCATTTAAATATTAAAACTTGTTTGTATATTAGTATTTCCTTGATACAGCTTCTTTTAACTGTAGAAAAATGTACCAGGTCTGACAAATTCATTATAAGCTATACATGCTCACCCAGTGATGTATTAATCCAAAAACTAATACTTTCGCTTTTATCAGGGGGAAACTGCTCCCTTAATTGGAATAAAATCAGAGGAACCTCTGTGGTACAAAAACGGCAGAAAAACAATCAATGGCTCATAAAACCTGCATTTAAATAACTCAACTAAAATCCAACATGAAACTTGTGTATTTCTTTTGATACAGATGGAGAAGTTTTAGTATCTGTGTTAATGAGAACATGCTCCTTTTATTGGATTTTGTGCCTATACTGCTGAGGAGGAAAGTATCATAAATCAGTTGCAAGAACTTTCTTGATTATGGCAAGACTTCAATTAACGGTTCGACAACAGCATGACAAATAAGGGCTGCTGTGAGTAATTTCCTCCATTTTCGGTTAAACTATATGAGAGCATACACTTGGCTGCACATTAAACAGCTCTATTAAAGTTGTGGCGGCACTCAGCACCAATCCTGTTAGAATAAAGGAATTTTCTAGATCCCTTGGGTATGAAAACTGTGGCTATACGCTGTATAAACTTAGAAACCTTTACCTGTGTAGTGAACATGGCGATGTGGTGAAACTCTCCACGCCCTCCTTGTTTCACTGGGACAGTCAGGAAGAATCTGCTGCCATCTTTGGAGAAAACGGGTTCTTGGTTCTGCAGAAAGCAAGGATGCATCAACTCTACAGCACTTATCACCCAATAAATCAATCAATCCACACCAGTCTGGGTCTAAA